GACTTTTCATTAAGACCCTAAAAATCATATCAACTTGTGGAAAATTGGCATCCTATGACCCCTTTAATAAAACTAACAAAATTTGAATGCTGAGACTTTGTTTCCTATTATCAAAAATGACCTGCTCTGCCTTGTCTGTCAGCTTGTTTTCTGTGTCCTCTCTACTGTGCGATGTTTTTCACTTTGTAACACTAAACTCACAGGAAATCCACTAAACCAGGACTCACACTCACTGAGCCATATCACATTTCATACTATACATACAAATATTTTCTACTGTATTGGAGATAAATGTTGATGTTGATCTGTTAGTCACTGGTCTTTCATGCTTTTCTCATGAGTTTGCATAATAACACATTGAAAAGTTAATGGTCAAACATATCTTTATATATTTACGTGTAATTACCCCCTCCCTACTTAATGGTCGGTCTCATGTATCTGCCATGTTTGCAGTTTCTTAACACTTTTTATTTGTAGCTCTAATCGAATGTGTTGTGGCATATTATTAGCCGTTAGAGGGTGAACGGATCTACACATCAAATCTCCACCGGAAATAGTAAACCATCCTGGTTCCTTTAGGAAACTCATTTCAACATATCACAATTTGGGACACAATATTTCTAACTCCAAGTAAAATGTTTTGCTAATTGTTTGGGATGCAGCACAAGCTTCATTACTATATAGAGGACATATATCTCTTGTGAGCTTCCCAAAAAAAAAATCATGATTTAAAAATGCATAATATTTACCTGTTGGGTCAGAGTTACCGTATATAGTTATGCTGAAAAGCTGAATCAATATAATTGTCATACAAATGCAGCAACAATATCAACAACCAAATCCAGATTTATGAAGGAACTCAAAGATTCATAGAATAAACAAATGAACACAAACAGATTCAATATTCCTCTTTATGCAGTCAGATAATGTGCTGGATTGACCTCTGACCCCTGTAATACAGTCACGTGTCTCCCTCTACAGGCGATCATCAGAATCACAGCAGAGTTAAAGATCTACAAATATATATGAAAGTATTTTCCAGCAACAGCAATGAAAACACACGCACAGATCTCACTTCATCAGCTGATATGATGTTATCTACTGGATTCATTTAATAAAGTCACAAGAGTTTCTGAGAAATCACTAAACACAGACAGAAAAGTGTGAAACATTATTGAAGTGAAACACAAAGATGTGAATGTGACTCTAATGGATCAGTTCTGCTGTTTTCATCTCTTCTGAAGCTTTGAATGCTTTGATCAGAATCCAGATCTCTTTCATTTCCACTCAATTCTGTTCAGGATTCACTCCAAACCTTTGCTCAGTGTTTCATCTGTGCTTCTGCTTTTGTGTGTTGATGCTGTTTCTGACTGAAGAATCACTTTTATTCTCAGCTTTCTCATGTGCTTCATCTCTCATTTCACACACAACATCTCTCTGTTTCTCCAGATTCACAGCAAATGAAGAGAAGCGTTTCTGTTCTTACCAGAGACTCTTTCTGCATTCATCTGTCAGCTGATGATGAGGATGATGATGATGAGGATTCATATCAAGCAAATCTCCTAATTTAAGAACATACATAAAATCATACATCAGTCATAAATGCATTACAATGAGTCTCATTTACGTGAAATACAGAAATTAGTAAAATAGAGCAATTATTTCTGTACAAACAATTAATTGAAAATAAATTGCATTAATACTATATAGAAGTCTCTCAATGTTTACAAAGTAAATATTTATTCAAGAGAAGCACCTGCTCAGAGAATATCTGATTTCAGACGCAGTCTAATATTGTTTGTAGAGTTTCAGATCTCAGTGTAAAGGTTAAATTAGATACCCAGAGCTGAAGATGTAAATGTGATGAAACACACCTGATTCACATCAGCAGCTCATCAATGACTTTAACACAAACACAAGAGCTCAAGACTTTACACTAGACTTCTACTGTTTAACACAACAGAGTCATTAGAGCAGAAGATGATCAAAGATTGTTTGCTAGAAATTCTGATATTTAAAATCCACACAAAATGTAAAATCATTATTATTATTATTTGTGAGTTGATAACTGAAATTCACTGCGTTTACCTGAAAGAATGTCACTTGTATCAAATAGAATTTAATGCATTATAAATAAAAAAATTCATAAGTAAATATGTTTTATATTTAAGAAACGTAATACATAGAATATATTCCCAGCTAGAAATTTTTTGTTCTAAAAATGTTCTAAGAACATTACCATGGATTGTTCAAGCAATGTTTTTAGCGGGTAGTTTTATTTTTGTTCCCAGAACGTTCTCCTATAAGGTAGGATAACATTCTCTAAAAACATTCTAAAAATGTTTAGCGATAACATTGTTAGAACATCATTCCCTAACATTCTTACAATGTTACATACTCGTTTTGCTCTCGTGGTACTTTGATGGCACATGTGATCGTAAGGCGGCTGCAGCGCCGATCAAAGTCTTTTTTAAGACTTTTCTAACCAGAATGCATTGCTTTTGACAGGCGGTAGCCGATCTTTGCGTCGCCGCATGAAGTCGAACAAGCCTAATGTCTCTAAAGAGTGTGTTTTTTGGATGTGAGGAAAAGATAACCTTATTCAGTGTTATGTGAACAGTGGATGCAATTTGTTTTAAGGCAGC